TATAACAAATTCACTTTCGTTTAATAAAGACAATTTTCATGAAGATCTGGATGAAATTGGTTAACATGACAATGTCCTACGCCAAGATTATGGAACTTTTAGTTTTTAATTTGTTTTTATTATGAGTGTGAATATACATAAGTATATATATGCATGGATCAGTATGTCTCTATAAACTGGTTTCTTATCTTGCTTCTTCTCTAGTGAATACTAGACTGCTAGGCCTATTAATAAATTCATAACTCATACAACACTACTATAACAGTGTGTCGAGAAATATACTCATTTAACAAGACTGTTCAAAAAAAATCTTAAATGTTGTTCTTTAAGATAATATTTTTAATTTACAAACATTTTTTTGAAATTATAATCAAGTTTTTCTATCCATCATTCTGTTTTTAATTTAGAACAAAATGTGGGTAATTTCAAAATTATATTGATCTTTTCTTTCTGAAGAGATATTCGAGGGATAGTGGTTGTTTACATTTTTATATGACGAATTTTGACAACTTTGATTGTTTATTTGTTTACAATTAGCGCCGAAACCAAACACTAAAACGGCTACACTTATTGGGTACAATTTTAATATATGGACCTCGCAATCGCTTAATTTGGGACCTCGCAATCGCATGGCCGCATGGGACTGTACATTAATCTTCCTGAAAAGGGATGGTTCATTTGACGTACTGTACATTTTTTCCCTTTTTAGTCTGTAAGTATACTGTACAATCAGAGCAGTAAACTTAAGAAAGGGATATCCTTAATCCTGATCGCTTAATCTAAGTATGCAATAGACACACTTTTGATTTTATTCTTAATCCTCTCTTTTGGATATCCCACTGTATCAAAGTTAAGTTTGATAACAATTACAGATACGATGCTATATCGATTGAACTAATATCCGATTAAACTAATAGTCAGCTATTCACAAGCTGGCTTTTAGAGCATTTGAACAAATAAAAATTTAATCATGTTCATATGATTTTATCACATTTGTGAACTATAGTAATTTAGAAAGTTAGTTTTAATAAACATTGATCCAAATCTTACGTTCGTTCAATCGATCATTAGTTTAATTGATATAACACCATCAAAACCAGAAATGGGCTATAATTAAAAAACAGGGTTTTCAAAAGTTAAAGAGCATAATTAACATGACACGTTGATTGGTTGAATTTTAAACTTCTTTCATGGATATCGAATGCGTTTTAACCTAATCTGGGTTTAGTAAAACCAGGAAATCAAGCATTGATCTCGATATCCACAATTCTCAAGTTTTCAGCTCTGGTCTGGCTGAGCTCAAAAGAACTAGAAATTTTAGTGATTGATTATTTTACCTATTTTTAGATTTCCCATCGATGCTGCGGCATCTTTCCGTTTCCGCTGGAGGATAACTTCCTGAAGTCTTCTTTTCACCTAAACAAATGAATTTAGAATTTATGAATTCTGTTAGATCAGATATAGGGATTAGAAAAATTGAGTTTGTGGCAAAGACTTAATTCCATAATTCTGTTGAGAAACAAAAATACAACAATGTCCCAAGCGGTTTTCATGCTCACAGAATGTGAGTTCACTCTTTTGTGAATAACCTTATGTTCTGTTTGTACTGTCAGCAGAAATTTTATCCTAATTTTGAAAAGGATAATTGTTAAAATGTTTAAAGAGTTTTGATAACACTTGTTGCTGATTTGATACTATTCTGGATCCTTAATTCACATTTTAGTTTTAACAACTATTTTTAAAGTGAAATGTTGATAACATAATATCGAAGAAATTGACATTGTAAGTTTCTGAACTTTTCAAAGTTATTTCTTTTAGTTCATAATTACTTTATGGGTCATAGTTCCTGACTAATTGCTGGAAACACTGTCAGTGTCATGGCATGAATCAAAGTAAATGAAAAAAATGATAAGTGCAATTCTTAAAATATTCAAAACAAAGTAGTAGTTTTTAGAATTTTGAAGAAAACAAATATTTAGTTTTGTCCCCAAAATCAATCTTTTTAGCAGAAAATTTTAACAATTGAAAATAAAAGTGAATGAAACAAACGTTTATGATTAGTAAGAAGGGGCTCTAGTTGAAAAGAAGTGGTTCAATTTAGTCGGCATAGCTTAACTCTTTCTCGTAATTCATTAAATTAGATCTTATCTTCATATTTTCAATTGCGGTCAATTTTATTTGAAAATGAAAATATACAGTTTAAATTAACAAAAACAACGACACTCTTATACCCTTATATCCGATCAAAAATTTGAAAGATAACCGTAATTCTTCTAGTTAAAAAGTATTTAATTCTGAAAATTTATCCAATGTTTCCAAAGCATGAAGAGTCACTTTTGCAGAGAAACCACAAATGAAAATAAACAGATTAAATAAAGAAAAACATGGATATATCATTCATACTTTATCAGACAAAGTTTTCAAGGGTCCTATGTAAATCTTTGCAAAGAGGGTTGCTTGAAACTATGATTACACAATCCCTTTAAGGGTTTATCATTTCACCAAAACCAATTTGTCTTCCAGTTTTCTCATAAAGTCATTGTAAGCCGGAAAAAAAATTGATTATTTAAACGCTTTTTTATTGTTTGATTTTATAAAAATTTTAAACTTAAATATTTAAAGTAGTTTCTTATTCCATGTGAATTGTGAATGAATCTCAGACGAGACTTTTGGAGTTTTTTTCCACAGAGCATTAATATTTAATTATCTATATAAAAAAGCTCTTTGCTTATATATATATAAAATGTTCAGCTAATTTTGGTCCAGCCGATTGGCCAGCTATAGCGAACATACATATTTATAATATGCCTTGGCAATTTGCCATTAGTGACAACCCTTAATTTTGTAATTTGTATATCTAATACATATAACCTCATTTCAAATACATCTGAGGAAAGGTTTTATGAATTAAATTATAAACCTGGGGAACACCAGGGACGTCTCTAGCTAGTCTATATAATAAAACAAGACATTCGTATGTATATCTGTTGCGTATAGCCGGCCAAACGGCTGGACCGATTGGGCTGAATTTTTTTGTGGACAATCATGGTTGGCCGGGGGTTGTTATAGTCTAAAAAATCGAATTTATCTTTTGTTTTAAAAATTTTTTTACTTTCAAATTTTAATTTTTTCCACAGGTAATGCCGGGCCCTCCAGCTAGTTATACAGAAAAGCCTAGAATAGAAAGACGACTGTTAAACTCAACTTCTGACTTTACCTCTGGACTGGCGACTGCAGATTGACAAGTTTCATCTTTGAGCTTCAAACTTTCAATTCTATTCTTCTCTTTGTGCACCTCCTAAACGGTAGAAGACTATGTATAATATTACTGTTATTTTGGTTCAGAATATTTCCTCTTTATCAATATTGAGACAGTTTAGATTATATTTATATTTAGAGCAATACAGACACAATTTATTTCCAAACTCTTTTTAACACACAGATCTGTGACATGTAAATTACTCATTAAAATCAACAGTACGCCATTCTTTTCTCCTTTTCTTTTTCCTCCTATCGTCATTTTCTTTGCTTTAATTTTTTTGTAACTTTTTGTGTGTAGGGCTTATCATTTAAAACAGTCATTATCGGCTAGATAAGTCCTGACTTGTATGTAATAGCTTTTTTTTATTTTTTGTGTAGGGCCTATCATTTAGAACAGCTTTTAAAAAATATTTACCATTAGTCGAAATAAAAATATATCATTGATAACGCGTCGCACAGTGGGGTCAGTCAAAGTGAATTTTTTCCATAAACATCTTATTTATGTCAAATAAGGCTTGGCCGCTTCAGATTTTTTTTGAGAAAAGTCTGTTCAGTTAAGAATTTCGAAAGAAAACCCGCTTTTTCATTAAAAACTCTTAAAATAGGATTTTACAACACACTACTCTGGCGTAATCAAGGTCTTGGCGTACTACTGGCACCCCTAAATGGCTGTTATATATTTAAATTATTCTAAAACCTCTGTGCTTTCTAGTGCTTTTGTTATAAAATATATGTTTTTCTTCCGAAATAGCTCTCTGTTATGAAGACGACATCTAAATATATTGCAGGTTTACAGGATCCATTCCAGGATAAATATATGAACAGGAAAAGTAATTATAAATTGAAATCATAATAAACAAATGCTAGCTACAACTAATACAATGTTTGTAACCAAAAAGATATTTTATTTTGTCCATTATCACCTTAAAACACAAGACAAATGCATTCTTAGAGGTGAATTGTGACAAAAACCAGTCATCCCCCCATGACCCCCTAAAATACCCCACCGTGCGTAGCGAGAATTATAATTATAGTCATAATAAAAAATCGTTTCAGATTGAAAATTATTTTCAAACGTTTCCTTTGATTGCAGCGTTTTACTCTGAGATTAAAACGAACCCAGATTGTTTGGTTCGTTAACAAACATTGAACATTTAATAACGAATAAATGAAGTCTTTGATTTATAAATATTCTTCCGCATCCTCGTTTGGGCTTCGTTAGTTTTGTTTTTAAACATTCAAATGATTTTACTGGCAAGCTAGGATCTATAAAAAATAGATTTTACATTTCCTTTCATTTGACAGTAAAATATTAGCTAAAAGATTTGAACCAAATACTTTCGTTTTGTTAACGAGCACATGAATGTTTCAAACAAATGTTTTGTTAACTAACACATGGATGTTTTAAAACAAATAATTTATTAACGAGCACATGAATGTTTCAAAACAAATGTTTTGTAAACGAACACATAAATGTTTAAATCAAATGTTTCGTTAACGAACACATGAATGTTTTAAAAGAAATGTTTCGTCAACTACATGGACGTTTTAAAACAAATGTTTTATTAACGAGCACATGAATGTTTAAAAACAAATGTTTTGTTAACGAACACATGAATGCTTTAAAACAAATGTTTTGTTAACGAACACATGGATGTTTTAAAAGAAATGTTTTGTTAACGAGCACATGAATGTTTCAAAACAAATGTTTTGTTAACGAACATTGAATGTTAAATAAGGAACGAAATATTACCTCTTCCCGTCTATCTGTCTGCTGAACCTGGAAGGCCTGAACCTGGCTGTCATGCTGTAACCTCATCAACAGTCTAAACACATCTGTTACACTCTGTATGTCTGTCTGTGTTTGTCTTGTATGTGTAGATGTTTGGATTTCTATCTCAGTGTTTTTCCGTCTATGTATCTGTCTTGGCGTCTGTCTGGGATTCTATCTAGTTGTCAGTCTATGTGTCTGTCTGGGATTCTGTCTAGTTGTCCGTCTGTGTGTCTGTCTGGGATTCTGTATACTTGTCAGCCTGTGTGTCTGTCTGGGATTCTGCCTAGTTGTCAGTCTGTGTGTCTGTCTGTTTGTTTATTGCTACCTGTTCTTCTGATAATGTTCTTCAAGGATTTGCTGTTGAACATACTGATGCTGCTTT